GGTGTGAGCTGCTACAACTGGCAGGAAACCACTAAATACTAATTCAAGTAAGTTTGAGTTTGTTCTTTCCTTCCTCCATGAAACCCAGGGGTTTCTATATAATAATAACAAAAATAGCATTATAATTATCATCATACACTGAGACCATACCCTGAGTATTTACAACAAGCCTGACACAGTGCTAAGCACTTTTCGTGCCTGATCTTGTTTAATCCTTATAACTAATACTGTCATTATCCACATTTACAGTTGAAAAAAATAAGACTCAGAGAGGTTAAGTCATTTGCCCAAATTCACACAGCTAGTCAGTGGGAGAGCTGAAATTTAAACTCAGACCCCACGAGAGGGAGTGTTCCAGAGCCTGCAACAGACCCTTGGCTGGGGAGCATGAGGTGGACCTCAGCTATCGAGGCCTTCAGCCCTCAGGCAGTCTCCTACCTTGTTCTCCCAGCCCCAGCCCCAGCCCCAACCCCAGCTTTCCCTGCCAAGGTGCTGGAGATAATGAATGAGATGCTCTGGTTGTCATGGAGACACCATGGCAACACTGCACTTTTGGGAAATGCCACAGTAACTGTGGCCACTGCTCTAGAGTTGAAAGTCATTCCCTACCCCGCCTCTCTCCCCAAAAGTGCTGTGGTCCCCATAATTCACTCAAGACTCATAACAGAAAGAAGGCCTTCTTACAGAGCAAGCTGTCCAGAGACTGGGACCAGGGAAAGGTCCAGCTTGGGCCCTGGATGAGCAGGTGGGCTCCAGGAATGAGACCAAGAGCTCCCTAAAGGCAAGAACAGAGTGCACTAGCTGTCCCTTTGATAGGGAAGTGTGCCCAATAACCCAACTCACCCGTACTTGCACCTACTGTGTGTCAGCAGGCCCCTGGCAAGGTCTGCGTGTTCATTCCATTTCACCCCAAAATTCCAAGAGATGGAAGTTTGGTGGCTGCTAGTGTCACAGTTAAGGGTTACACTGGAGCCAGCCTCCCTGAGCTTGAACACTGGCTTCATTATTTACTGACTTTGTGACCTTTGTGCAAATCTCTCAACTACTCTGAGCCTCAGTTTCCTCAACCAGTTTATACTATTTAATCTATCTGGGGGGACATCTGCCAAAACCAAAAGATGACATAGGCTAACAAAATGATCATCCAATTAACAGATTTGAAAACTGAGGCTCAGGGAAGAAGTGCCCCCAGGCCATGTATCAAATTCCCAGTGGATCCAGAAAGAGGACAGGAGGTTGAGCCGAAGCCAGAAGGGGTGAGGAAGAGGACATGGTCGAGGAAAGAATCTGCGTCACCCAGGGAGTTGGGAACAAGCAGATGATTCACCCCTGTTCCCTCAGTCTATTATCTATCAAGCTCTGCCAAGTGGCAAGCACATAACTAGGCACTGAAAAAGCAGTGAAAAAGCAGACCTTCAAATGAAGCAGGATTCTGAAGACCTTTGGGCATGCTGATTTTATGTCGGGGGGCAGTCTACACAGCCCTGAGTGCTCACTTCCGGCCTGGGTCATTCCTGACAATGCCCCCATGTGGCCCACTGTCCTGCACACACTAACTCACATGCGTGGGATGCAAAGGCAAACTGACACCACACAGGCATGCTCAGAGGAGTCCTCAAGGCTTCTCCGGCTTTGGGAGGGGCAGGAGAGGAGGGCTGAGAAGAGGTCAGTGAGAAAAATACATCAATGGGGAGCAGGGCTTGCTTGGGCAGGTAACTAAGGAAGCGAGGGACAGTGGTGGCAGCAGGCCTGAGCACTGAGAGTCCCACGGGCACCGAGAACCCCTCCCCACAACTGGCCCCGCCCCTCCCAGCCTGCCACACCCCCAGCAGTCACACCACCAGCCACACCCCTCAGTCCCCAGCTCTACCAGCCACCCTGCCAGGTCCTGTCCCACCCACCACATCCAGCACAGAAAAGAAAACCCTCCACATTTGCTTTCCAGCTGTGCAGGAGTTTCTCAGCGCAATTACACCCCTGGGAAGCCAAGAGAGAGCAGAAGTAAATCCCTCCTCCGCTGGTTTTCACTGTGGACTCCCCACCCCCACCACAGTGCTGCCTGGCCTGGGGCCAAGCTGCCACCTGTCAGTCACCACACCACCGCCAGGGTTGCCACCAGTGGGACTGTCAGCAGTCTGGCTGGGAGTCATAGCACAGTCCATTCCGCAGTGAGCACATGGGGACACTGAGGCCTGGAGAGAGAAATGGGCAAGAACCCCTGGCACCAGGCTGCCAGGTCTGTCCCACTGCCACCTCAGCCCTGCTCACATTCCTGCGTGGCCAGTCTCAGCTGGGAGGGGAACTCTGCCTGCTGTGGAGGTAAACAGTTCCCGTGGGGTGCGTCTTTCTACACCCCTATGCCAGGCCCAGCAGCAGCCATCTCTGGGGAACACTGGCCTCCCACCTCCACGGACCACCTTCCAAAGCTGAGTGGCCTCCTACCCATGGAAGGTGCACCCTGGCCAATTACCTTCCCCCTCCAGAGTCTGCAACAGGGACTCTCCAAGCTAAAAGTATTAACAATGGTAACTTCCATCTCTTAGACTCTATATGTCTGCATCATGGCTATTATTTCACCCCTCAGGAGCATCATGACCTACCTTCTCCCCATTTCACAGATGAGGAACTGAGGCCAAGAGACCCATGGCACTGATGGGTAAGTAACTGGTTACCTCAGCACAGAGCTGGGCTCTCCCTCTACTCACCTGAGACAGCCGACCCTACCAGGTGTCCTACACATCCTGTCTGCTCCCTTTTGTGTGTTTTAACATCACCATCAGTGGCTAATGGTAACTCCTAGAAGCAGCCTCACAAATGCTCCACCAATCAATAGTCATGAAACCCAGCTTAAAGCCTAGTTTTCAACTTGAGAATTAGTCCTGGACACCTGACAGGCAGGGAAGGCACACAAGAAAGCCTCAGGAACATAGACTCCACTTATTGAGAACTGGCCTTTCTCCTAACTTGGTCTGAGTTGAGCACTTACCTTTGTACCAGGTCTGAAGAAAAGGTTTACCAGGCAAACAACCTGGACGGTCTGGGGGAAGGGCTGCACAGGGAAACAGGCAGGCCAGGGCCAGCTGCCCTCCGGCCCCACAGACAAGCTCCGCCAATCCCACAGAGGCTGCCGACTCAGATTAGGGCCAACAGGGAGGGCTATTCATTGGGCCATGAGGCTTCTCAAAGTAGAGCTCTCGGCCCACCCCCCAAATTGCCAAGGACAGAGTAAAATCCATCCCTAATTACTCTTCCTGGGCTCTCATCATAGACACTTGCCAATATCATAACCTCCCTCGTTGACAGCAGCAGCCAACATGGGCTGAGCTGCTGCTAAGTCACCGGGGCTGTGCTAAGAGCTTCCCTGCTTTACCTCCCTCAATCCTCACACCCCACAGGTGGTGCCACTGCACAGGCAGTGACAAGAAACTGCTCCTTCATACACAGAGACTCGGAGAGGGCAAGTTGCTGACTCAAAGTCACATAGCTGGTGGAAGTGGAGCTAGAATGGCCTCTCCTATCTCACCCTGAAGTCCCTCTCATAACCTAGGATCCTGGTGCCCAGTATCCCACACCACTTCTCAGCCAGGTCCACGGCGCAGGAGGCAGCTTCCTGAAGGCACCCAGCCCAGGACTGTAGACCCAGCTTCTCTAGCAATGGGTGAGCTTCACACCAGCAAAGCTTACCTGGGCAAAGAGCAGCACGTCTCCTCCAGGGGAGGTAGGACCTCCACCTGAGGGTCCTCATGGTCCCCACCCCAGGGCCCCACATGAGAGGGGGCAGCCTCCATGCCCCAGTCAGGGCCTTGTGCTAAGGAGAGGCAGAAGGGATCAGAAGTAGGCACTCAGCTGGCAAGACAACTCAAGGGACAATGGTGACCAGCAGCCTCACGGGCTTGGTGCATGTGAGGCACAATGGGAAGCACTTCCCCATCATTACCTCAGTTATTTGTCATTTATTCCCAATGAAGTAAAAATAATTGTGTGCCTGGAGCTTCTCCCCAGTCTGCCTGCCCTGAAGAGATGCTGGGGACCCCAACCCAAACCTCCCACATGCCCAGCTCCAGGCTGCCAGGCATCCCAAGAAGTTCTGAAAAGCAGGCCCATGAGGGGCTCCACTTCACAGATGCAGGAGCCAAACTCCAGGTGCACCCTCGAAGCATCCCTGGCTCTGAACATTCCAGGCTGGGAAGGCAGTGTCACCTCCTAGTAACCCAGGCTCCGAGCCCATGCAGTGGGGAGCTGAGGACAGAGTACTGACAGAGGAGGGGAGACATCTCAGCGCCTCCAATAATTCAAGGTGTCTCTGGCCAGCACCTTCCCTTTTCTGAGCCTCTGTTTCCTCAGCTGCTCAACATGTGTGGACCACAGCAGAAGTCTGACCTTCTCGGGGTTATGGAACCTTCTGAGAAGCTAATGATGGGTGCCAGCAGACTCTGTCCCGACACACAAATTCAGACCAGCCCCTACTGAAAGCCACGGAAAGAACATGGAAATGCTCCAACAATGCCTGTCTTTGACAAGCCCTGGCTCTCCTGGACCAGACAGGCCTGAAGCTGCAAATGCCATGTCCATACACCCTGGGATTCATCATTCCATGTCCCTCAGGCCCTGAAGTCTATCTTCACTCTGGCATCTGCTGGACTCAGGCAGATTCGAGGATGGGTCTAGCTGTCCATCCAGGGTTGCTGTAGGAGAACCTGGACCCTTCCCTCGCACTCCATTTTCACCTCTGAAGTCTGCCAGGTAAGCCTGGGCCACCTCCCTGGGGCAGTGGCAGGAGCTGGGACACTTGTGGAACCCTCTCCTGATCCTGACTACAGCTGGAGCCCATGCTGAGCTCCAGGCTGTACCACAGGTCCTCCCGCATAAGAAGTACACACAATGCACCCGCAGTTAAATGCACCTAGGACAGCTGGACAGGGCAGAGAACTTGGGACGGTGGTCAAGGTGCAGGGAGGCCAGGACAGACTAGGGAAGCCAGGGAGAGTGACAAGACCCACCAGAGTTTGGGAGCTCCAGGCAGCTGCTCCGCTCCTCTGCACTTGGCTGCGTCTTCTCAATGGCTCCACACACCTCATTTCATGCGGCTGCACCTAATCCCAGGGCCAGGACAAATGGCATTACTGTCGGCCCAGTCTCCTCCCCAGGAGGGAGGGAAGGAGAGAGGTGGCCCTAGGGCACTGCCAGCCACCAACAACATTCCTGGAAACCTCCACCACCCTTGCCACCTCCCTTGCCCTACCTCCGGGATGCAGAGCAGCCCCTCCCCAAGTCTGCCCCAGGTCTGGGGGCCCCACAGCAGGCAGGGCCCCACCTGGAGGTGCCCTCCATGGGCAAGGAGAAAGCATGCCCTCAACCCTCATGCCACTGGGTTCTCTGGTCCCTCTCAAGAAGGGTGGCAGCCAGGAGTGGAAGGAGCCCTCACTGGCAAAAGGGATAAGGGACCTCCAGCTCTGCCTGATTTCCCATGTGACCCTAGGCAAGGTCTTCCCCTCCAGGCCTCAATTTCCCCACCTGTCCCAGGAAGAAGACTGACATCCCCCCAAGATCCAGCTGGTGGTCAAAGGGTCTGTGACAGTGGCTTTTGGCCCCAAGCCAGTCAGCTGCCAGGCCCTTCCCATTGCCCCACCCTGCAGAGGAGGAAGAAAGGTGACTGGCGAAAGTGCAGAGGGTATTACAGGCTGTGCTAGTGTCAAAATGCTAGAGCTGAAAACGCCTTACAAAGCCGAGGCCCAGAGAGGAGAGGCAACTCAGCCCCAGTTGCACAGTGAGCTGGAAAAGGTCAGGCTGGCCTAAGGCAGCCTGGAGGTTTTCCAGTTTCCCAGGGCTGGGGTGGCCTCTTTGCACTCTGAGTGCCCACCTCAAAAAGTATGTGTTTCCTTAGAGGATGCTAAAGGTAAGCACAAGGCTCTCTTCGAATGGCAAAATTTCATGTCCCAGAGACAGCAATAAAAAAAAGTGTGCTTGATGTCTGGGGCCTAGTATGGAAGCTGGGCCAAGCTTCCAGCCTCTCCTTCATACCATGAGGGGGGCCTAGGGTCCTGCCAGCCACAGGGAGCTCCTTAGGAACCCCTTCCAGGGATTAACAGCCTCGGCCACCCTGGAGAAGTCACCTGAGGCCCAGCAGTGGTGACGGGGAGCTTGGTCCAGAAGAACTCCCCAAGATCAGCCGGCTCTGGAAGACACCAAAGCCCTGAGAAACTGAAAAGCCTTCAGGCCCCAGGGCAGGAGCAGGCTGGGATGGCACAGAGGAAGGGAAAAGCATGGAGGCACTTGGAGCTGCAGAAGTCCCCTAATCTCCCAGAGGCCTGGTGGGCACAACACGGGGCCTGCTGAGACCAAGGAGGCAGCAGTGAGGGCCCACATGAAAGCAGCCTGTCCCCCCGGACCTGCTGGGGCTTGTCTCCGAGACAAGAGCCTGCGGCCAATGCACCTAGTACCTCAGGTGTCAGGGTCTGGGCACATTTCCAGCAGGCACAGCTGGGAGCAGGGACAGAGGTGGTGCTGGTGGGCGGAGGGCGCAGTTTTCTGGAGAGCTCAGACACAGCAAAAAACGCCAGGTGACCTACTTCACTAGGTCCCTAACGAAGGGACCAGGGCTTCAGTGAGACTCTAGAAGGTGCCACCTGGTGTCAACAGTTCACATGGTCAGTCCCAGATTAGGCAACAACCAAGACCATGCTCAGCAAGGCAAGAAAGGGCCAGGGGGCCTTAAGAAGGGCCTCACTCCACGCAGTCTGCATACCTTGCTGGACACTTCCGGGGACTATGGCTGGATGACTCACTGGTCTCGACCTCAGTCCAGCCCTGGACTAACCTGCTGTGACCTCAGGCAGCACCGCTCCTTTCCGGGCCTTGTTTTGTTTGTTTGTTTTTGGTACCGGGGATCGAACTCGGGACCTTGCACTTGCAAGGCAGGCAACAGAGCCACTGAGCTAAATCCCCAGCCCTGGGCCTTGTTTTTATTCACACATGGAGCAGAACTGCACCAGATGATTCCATGAATCTCCTAGCTCTGAGCAGGTGATTCTGTAGGGAGCATAATGACCCCTGGCAAATCCCCAGCTCCACAGAACCCCACCATCCACCACACGTGCAGTGGGGAGCACTGTGTACCACCACCCTGCAGCGCCAGGTGCTGGGCTCTTTGCTAACTTTATGGCCTCCACGTCAGCAGGGCCTCATTTTGCAAATGTGGAAACTATGGTTCATGCAGGTTAAGCAACTTGTTCAACCTCCCACCTGGGAAACACTTAGCTGAGATTCAATCCAGCAACATCTAGCTCTTAATCCCCACATTCCATGGCATCTGCCACTGAGAACCCAAAACCCACCAGGCCTGGCAAATGCCATGGGTTCTTTGCACCTCCCACAACTCCCAGCTCCTAATGCTGGGGTTAATGTGCAAGGTGGCTGGAGGGGGGCGGGGGGGCGCGGGGAAGCCTGTGTGGGCGCTGAGCATTCCACAGACTGACCAGTATGCACCAGCCAGTTGTTCACCACTGTGGTTACAATGTCCTTGTCACCACCAGCACGCTACAGCCACCACCTGCCATTTTTAAATCTTTACATACTCAGTGCTTTTTCACAGGCATTGCTTTGGCGGCACATGACAGTTTCATAAAAGCACTGTTGGAATTTCTTCCCCCTTTCTTGGAAGAGGAAAGTAGGGTTCCAGGTGAATGAATGACTCCCTGAAAGACACACAGAGAGGTGGTGTTTCAGAATGAACCTGGGGCCCACCTCCTCTGCCACCTACACAGGTCTGGGTCTCCCCTGCTCGCCCACCATTCCTGATGGGCTTCTGTGACAACAATGTGTGTCCACATGACAAGCCCTTAGAGCTCATGCCGGGCCAGCACTTCACATCTCAGGCACCCGTCTCCACACCCCGGTTAATTAGCGCTGCCACTGCTTTCACTGCACAGACAGGGGATGCTGAGGCTCAGGGAGGCGGGCCATCATGCCCAGGGTCACCAGGCTAGGAAGGGACAGAGCTGGCATGCAAATCCACATAATTGGATCCCAGAGCCTAAGGCCCAAACCTCTGTGCTGCACAGGGCTGTCTGGGAGGCTCCAGCCCAAGCAGTCACTGGAAGGGGACAGGAGGCCAGACACATCAAGTAGTGTGTGTGCCTGGCAGGGCATGGCAAGATTACGATAATAGGAGGGCAAACAAAGCTCTCGGGAGCCTGCAAGAGGGAGGCTGGTATGAACGTCTGTCTGGGCAGTAGGCCAGCAGTCTGAGCTAAGGACATGGGAACAGAAGTAGGCGACAGATAGGAGGAGGGGGAGGCCTTGTAAGACCTTGGTCAAGTGCCTTGCTCTCTCTGGACCTCAATTTACTCAGCTGTTAAGGAAAGTACCAGGAATGTCTCCAGAACCCTCGCCATCCTGCAAGACCCTTGGGCCCTGGGAAAACAAGCAATGCCCAGTGACACCCTGGCTACAAGCCCCAGGGACTCTGAAATGTCCTTGGCTGTCCTGGCACAGTGCAGCTGCTGGAAAATGCTTGCAGAAGCGAAGGGCTCAGTTGGCATGCCTGGGCACCAGTGAAGTGTAGGTCCTAAGGGGGCCACATTCCACCCATTGTCAGCCTCTCCACCACTCCACTGCAGCAGGCACTACCCAGCCTGGACTCAGACCAGGAGCCGAGGTCACATCCAAGTGCCCAGTGGAATGCCACTCCAGGCCCTGCCCTATCCAACAACACCATATGCTACTTGGTTTTTTAAAATAGGGTCTCACTATGTTGCCCAGGCTGGCCTTTCATTCTTCGGCTTGCGATATCTTCCTGCCTCACCTCCAGAGTAGCTGGGTCTACTGGCATGTGCCACCATGCCTGGCTTAAGAACCCTGTATGCTACTTCAGTCCCATCACTGTCACCACTCCTCGAAGGCTCTCATTCACATTTCCATAGAGTTGACCACTAGGATGACCACGAGGAATCCTAGAGGAGACTGTAAAGAAAAGGACCACCTTCATCCCCAAGGGACCTTTGTGAGACAGAGGTTGCCGTGCTAGGTCAGAAAAGTCCTTGGCTATGGAAGGAGCAGGGAGGCCATGAGGGCCAGCCCTCAGAAAGTGGGAGGGACAGGGACTTCCCAAGAGGATTCAGCCTAAGCCTCTGCACTCGCCGATGCCCTACCAAACCACACAGCCAACATGCTCCTGCTCTGTAACTGCCTATGGCTCCCACCACCCACTGGGCCGATCCCTTAGCAGGATGGGCCACACAGGCCACTGTTACCACCAGCCTCTATTAACTGAATGTGGTATGTGCCAGGGCCTTTGCTCAGTGCTTTCTGAACACAGTGGTGCCTCCGTACTCATAGTTAATTGTTTCCGGGAGTCATGATGAGTACCCAAAACAACTAGTACCAAATAAATTGTTTTGGCTGGAAAGGGCTTCAAGTCATGAGCCAATCGACACCAACAAATTCTAGCTTTCAGGTCAAGTACTAAACAAATGACAAGTACCCAAACACAATTTTCATGTCAAAAAGCATTGAGTACCAAATTTAACAAGTTTCAAAGGAGCTGAGTACCAAGATAGGACTGTATTTCTCATTTAACCCTCACAGTAACCCTGGGAAGCAGGTCTTAGGAGTGCCCCATTTTTACAGATGAGAAAATCCAGGCTCAGAGAGGTTATGTCACTTCCCAGAGTCTCTCAGCCAAGTGGCAGAGGCAGGATTCACACTCTTACCCTCTTGACTCCAAGTCTAGATTCTTAAGCACTAGATTCTTAACACCCAGCTCCACGAAGGCACCCCACCAGCCTCAGAACTTGGGGGCCAGCTCAACACTATGCATAGGAAACTCCAGCACAGAGCTCTCTCTGCTGGTAACAGAGGCAGGAAAAGGTCTGAGGCCTCCTCTTCCAGCCTCCCCCGCCCCCCCCGCGGGGCTCTCCAGGCAGAAAAGCCCGGACCCGCCACTGTGACAAACCCCCCCCCCCCACATCTGCTTCCTCCGTCCAGAAAGAAGGGAGAAGCAAGAGGTTTGCAGGAAGAAGGAAGTACCTGAAGGGGCCATGAAGCATTTATTCTCATAGAACAGACACAGCTGAGGAGGGAGGGTCTAACATCG